GGAAAGGCCGCTGAGGAGAGCGGGGGGAGGGGCCGGCCCGGGCCGCAGACCTACCTGCTGGGGAGCGAAAGAGCCTAGTCACGTCCACACGTAGCTTTTGGGTTTGTGGGGTTTGGTTTGGTTTGGTTTTTTTAACGCGGCAGCTAACTAGGAGCTGGAGAGCCAGGTAGGCTGCTGTGAGCTGGCCCCAGGCAGCCCTATGCTCTGTGGAGGGACCTACTGAAGGAGCGAACGCGTTTGCTCCTGCCTAAAAATACCTTTCCTCACACTCCATTTGGTATCTTCTTGGTTTTTAGTTACAAACACCTCAGGTATGTTTCCTTGTTATGCCTTCAGGGTACGTCCTACTTGAGGGATAGGTTTTTATTCCCGATGGCTGTAACCGAATGTTACAAAAAGTAAAGGAGCTCAAGACTTCAATGTTACATGGCTTAATTACGGTTCTGTTGTATTTTTGAAAGAACATTAAAGAATTAATGCACAGTCGCAAATTGCAGGGCAGGAATGGAGATTTTTTAGTAGATCTAAGTAAGTGTGTAGAGCTATGAGGATCTGACAAACAGCAACTTTTTCTGGAAAGGATTTTTTTCCATTTTTCAAAATTTTGACTGGAAAAAGAAAGATTGAAGGCTCCTTCCACTGAAAAAGAGCTTTATCAAATTAGAGCTAAATTAAAGAAATCTACGTAGTTGGCTTAGGGCACAAGACTTAGATAATTAGTACTGATACAACTAATTTTTGTATCACCTGACATACAAGCTCTACTGAAAATGCTTCATTTGAACAAAAGAAATGTAGAGAACTATTGCTCAAGCTGACTATTTTTGTAGTTAACTACTTCTTCTTTTTTAACAGGAACCTTTACTTACTAAAATGAGACACAATCTGGTGTGTCAGACACCTCCCACTGTCACTGTTCATGTAAAATCGAGTGCATCCAGATCACATCAGAAAAAAAAACTTATTAGACTAAAGCGGCCTACTTTTAAAGACCATGAAGAAAATAATTGTGAAAAAAAGGTTCTTAGTCATAAATATAAATGTCCAAAGGGACCACGTCTAGTTATTCAGCGTCAGGAAATGACAGCTTTCTTTAAATTATTTGGTAGGTTAATAATGACAGATATCAATGTATTGACTGAACAGTAGAAAACTATTAAGCAACTATGTTTTCTAAACTCAGTAATTTTGGGAGTGCTTTTTATATAGATACCAATGGCCGTGTCTTTGTCTAAACGTATTTTGTTGTAATATGTTAGTGTATAAACATTTAACGCTTAAGTTAAAGATACAAAAAGTGCTACCAAACTGATGAAAAGTATCTTTTTAAATTACAAATGAAACCAAGGTGGTGTGATACTTCCTTTTATAATCATTTCCCTTTCCTTTCTATTTTCTCTTATATTTCAACAAATACATGTAAAACAACGTACATCTTGTTTTACACAAGGCTTAAGAAAGGCTGGACTCCCAGTCTTATAAACATGTTATTTATTGTCGGAATAAACATTTAGGGGGAGAAGTGGAATGGGAACAAAATCTGAGTTGCAGCATCTCTTGCATCTGTCTCTCTTTCACATAAAGCTTTGTATTTATTTAATTTAGTGAAGACATTAAGTAATAGTGGAAGACTACACTTGGGTTTTTATTTGAACCTTGAGTACAGGAGTGAATCAGAGAGAGTTTGCGGTAATCCTATTGTAGTACGTTTTCACAGACAGCAATGCACTGACCACAAATAATTAAACAAATATTGCCTCACAAAGGCTGTCAGGTAATCAAGGTGCAGAGATCTCAACGGTCTATGGTTCATGGGAAATAACAGTACGCTATTAGATGGAGCCACTTAATGCAGGAAGAAGTTATATAAATAGAAAAAATACTGGTGATTTTTCACCTTCACTTGCTACTAGTGAGAATGAATGAAATGCAGTCACTAGATTTTCCACCTTGCCTTTCTGGTAGTTTGTCGTCTTTTGTCGCTTAAGTTTTTTCATATCTCTTTCTCCCCTCAGTTTCTCTGTTCTCTACTGCTGGGTTTAGCTTCTTTCTTTTAATTTGGTTTAATAAAAGGCCCATCTGTTATTTATTTACAAATGCTTTCTAACAAAAACAATTTTGGTGTTTGAAATGCTACAATTTTCTTTTGTTGCAGATGATGATCTAATCCAAGACTTCCTTTGGATGGACTGTTGCTGTAAAATTGCAGACAAGGCAAGTGTATTTCCCTCTTAGTTAATAGAACATATATTGAGTGAAAAATCTGCTCTTAATCACTTGATACTCTAATGCAAATACACTGTAATTTTTTTCTAATGTGTTCATATGGAACCTTCAAGAAACTCCATTTATGCTTTTCTCATTGATAAAACTGACCAAAATATCTTGGTGCAAGATAAATGTGCGAAGCATTTTGGGAAATGATGTACTGAAATAATATATTGATACTTAATAATGAATGTAACATTTTACATTTTAAAACAGTATCTCTTGGCAATGACTTTCGTTTATTTCAAGAGGGCTAACTTCACAATAAATGAGCATACCAGAATCAATTTCTTTGTCGCTCTGTAAGTACTTTTAAATTATCTGGTTTTATTAGGATAAACTTCGCATTATTTTATTTCTTTGTTTATGCCACTGATAATTATGATATACAATGAGACTTCTTTAATGAGTGTGTAGTTGTTTGGGTTCTATATGAAGTATAGAAACGGAATCTACGTACTGTATATAAATAGTGCAAATGCAACATCCTTCCTCTGATGACCACCTGTGTGGAACAAGCTCGAGTGGCAGTGAGGGGACATTTGTGTTGGTGTTGTGATACCCAGGATGGCACTCTGCCTACCAAACTGTAAATCTGTGAGTTTTTTTAAGCACTGCAAGAAATATACGCAGGACAATATGTGGCAACATATACATGGCTCACACTGCCTGTTACAACACCCTATTTTGTATCTTTGCCAGCCTTTAAGTCATTTGTACTGAAATGTTTCATCATGATACGCACCTTGGGAGTAACTTTTGGTTAAAGTTTTAGTCAACGTGATTTAAGTCAACTGTAAAAATGTTGCTAGAGAATTTCTGCGAACTTTTTTGAACAGTTCTAAAATTTCTGTACTTTGAAACAGAGGTGTAATCAGTAATCTGTCTGTACCAAACCTGTATAATCTCTCCATATTTGGCTATACCTACAGAGTGATTCAGCATTTTCTTTCATAGTGTTACGCTGCTCAGGTAATCTTTTTCTGTAATAGCGCTTCTCAGGTGCTCTGATTTGCACACTAGTGCGGGGAGAAAGACGGCTGTTTCTTCTGCTGTAAATGGTACTCTGGGTAGCATCCACTGAGCATGGAGGAGGAAGCCGTCTGACTCCACCGAAGGCAGAAAAGCCAGGCCAGCAGAGCGAGAGGATTAGAAAGGGACAAAGGGTCTGGTGAGGCTGGGACTAGAAGGAATATTGGGCTTAGGAGCAAGTGAGAAAAGTGGGGGGGAGACTAAAAGTCGTAACTCTTTCAGGTATGATTTACAGGAGTTTAGTATAAGGTGGGTCCAGAGGAAGTAAATACTTTCCTGTTGTCCGAGAAGACGACCCAGAACCAAAAGTAGCACATAGTGAAGGAAGGGAGAAATACAGACGTTAGTCATTTAAGGTTTTCATTTTTACATGAAGGTAGACCTGTATTTAGTTGTTGGCTGCTAATTTAATGTGAGCAGCGTAATATTCCAAGAATAGCTAAGATCCATGAAGTAGAAAATGTGAAGTTTAAAATTTGGTAAGACAGTTTTAAGCTTCACTTAGAGAATCAGTCAGAAACTGTTCATTTTAGTGCAAGGATATCTTGTCAATTCGGAGAAGTCTGTCAGGATATCTTAGCTCTTGCATATCTGCCCATTTAGGAGACTTTAGGGTAAAGCAATTTTTATAATAGCTTCAGTTTTTATTTACCCAAAGGATACACATGGAACTTTTTGATTAAGAAAATACTGTGCTCCTGAGAGAAGGCTGTATTTTGTTAGCAGTTTTTCTCACAGTTAGGAAAAAGAACTACTTCAATGTTATGTCTTTTAATATTAGAAATCGTACTAACGCAGTGATTTAAGATTGAATAACATTTACAGACACAAACATATATATGTTTGAAGGTATCTGGCAAATACAGTTGAAGAAGACGATGAAGAATCAAAGTATGACATTTTCCCATGGGCTTTGGGAAAGGCCTGGAGAAAACTCTTCCCTGATTTCTTGAAGTTAAGAGACCAACTATGGAGTAGAATTGACTACAGGGCTGTTGTAAGCAGGCGCTGCTGTGAAGAGGTAGGGAGGGTTTTAATATTGTAGATGCTGAAACGACAACAATTAATACCAGCTACCAATCTAGCTCTACACAAATAACTCCTTCCCTAAAGTGCGTAGACAAGCCTTGGGAAAGAAAAGATGCAGTTAAATGTAACGGTCCACTTATCCTCCATGATTGTTTTTTTCTTCTGCATTTAACATACATTCTTTGAAACTGTAATTTTAAGGTAAACTAGAATATTTTACATTGCACTACTGTTAAAAGTGAAGTTTTTATTGACTAGAATCTTTCTGCTTTATGCAAATATTTTTATTTAAAATTTGCCATCGGTTGTTTCACTTCATTCACTTTAGAAATAATTTTGTGTGTGTCTGTTTGCTTTACAAATGGTAAGTCTATACGCAAGTAAAACCTTCAAATAAAAATCCCAGCACCTCAGGTGAAATTTTAATCCCTTCAAAATGAATAACACAACTTCAATTGACTTTTTAAGGTAAGGGGATTTCACTGCATTTAAAAAAAACTCAGAAGGACACACTTTTAACATTCTCTACTATTAATGCAGTGTTACAGCCTACATTCGTCAAACGTATTAGGAGGGGAAAAAAAGACATTCCTCACTTTTCAGGTGGAATGTATCTGTCTGGAAAAGCCCTGTCACGTTCTAAGAACATAATGTTTACTACAGCTGGTGGAAAAGAAAATCTCATTTACTCTAGAATCCCATCTCTGGGGATGGGATTAGACATTTATGGGAAAAGTACAAGGAACAAGGCAAGCGTAGGATGCTTTTCCCAGCATACCCTCCCAGCTTCCAACGGCCATTAGTTCAGCCATGTTGTGAACCAGAAGATCCATCGAGTTTATGTTTAGTAGTTAGTAAAAGACACCCTCTTCAGTCCAGCGTACAAAGCATAAGCTGGTATTTGTGATGATTCACATGAATATACAAGGCTGTAAACTGTTGTGTTTCCACATCTGGTTCATAACTGGTTCACTTACTCGTGCTTAAGGTAGCAAACTTTCTAGTGAGACAGAAGCAGGTAGATGATACCCCTTTCAGCTGCATAGTATTACTTCTCTGCCATACATTAACTGGATCCCTTGTTTTCAGCTGTATGTTTTCCCATTATTTTTACGGTTTCTGATGTAACGGCTGTTCTGATAGGTGATGGCTATTGCTCCAACACATTACGTATGGCAGCGAGAACGTTCTATGCACCACAGCGGAGCTGTGAGAAACTACGATGATGAAGTACAGCTGCCCCGAGGACCTAGCGCTACTCCTGCAGACTGCTTGCTTTGTGGTAAGAAAGGAAGATTTGTACGACTAGGATTATCATCATCTTCCTCCTCATCTACTGGAACTATGGAGATGATGGAGTTACGTTCATCCCAGAATTCAAAGAACACCTTTCCGGCTGCAAAAATGCTCGTTGACTCTCCTTTTTATTATGGCCAAGGTATGGTTTAGTATTGCAAATAATTTTCCATTAGTTTAGGCAACTGAGGCCGTATTTGCCTCAGACGCGATCTCTCTGCGTTAGCAGAAGTCCCCATTACAAATGCAGTTACCTTGGCAGAACTGCCCTGGTTTCATTTTCACATCTTGCCTCTTGACTTCCTGGAAGTACCAACTGCTTTATATTCTGAGTCTCTTCAAATTACCTTCATCTATTGCGGTAGATTTTGGGTTGCGTTCCAGGCTATTTAGGCATTTATTAGTATTCTTGCATTATAAATTAAATTGAGAATCCTATTTTAAATGCTTAGGATTGGCTAGAAGAAACAGTAAAAATACCACATGACCAAAGTCATGTGACTTTTTAACTTGTAGAGTGTGCGTTACGCGAGTTCAAGTGCTCTTGTTGAGAGCACCGTTTTTAGAAAGGGCAGGCTGCTCAGTTGCTGTCATCAGTTTGGACATACGTTAAATCACAATTCACATTTTCCTTCAAGTGCGTCTCAATTGTTGACAGAGCGTATACAAGATTTCCTTTTAAGATTGGGGTACGAGTAGAAAGCAATACAGGAGTTTATTGTGAAAATTGTTTTACGTACTTGAATCTTTGCACATTAATCCGCTCAAAATAGTGTCCTGAGCCTTTGCATGAGAAGCCTCCACTACATACAGCAGTTATGGGGCAAATGCTCGTTGTTTAATTTATTATTGAGTGGAACACACGTGAGATGTGAACTTCCTGGGGGAACTGTATAAGGCCTCAGTTCTGCAAAGATACTTTCATGTGCTTAACCACTGCGGAGTTCTTAGTATACTTATTTAATCCAGGGTTACAGTTATTTATAGCTCTATTTCTTATTTGCATATGTTCTCACTAATATCCACATTTTCACAATTATAGTAGGATTGTGTTATTGCTTTTGACAGCTTCAGTACAACTGTGATTCTCAAGGGATCCCTCAACTTTGAAAAATTTGGCATTTCAATCTTCCTTGAGATACAGAACAAGTCAGGTGGCTACAACGTGTCATTTAATAAATATAATGTGTTAAACACACCACGTGCTTATGTGGAGACTTACGTGAGACCCTAAGACTTAATTTTAAATGTGTTTTTACTTGAGAGATCTTGCTTTTCATATCTGACAAAGGTCAGAAAATATTGTGTTTATTTTGACCATTTGAGAATGTTTTACAGAAAGTTCACAAGTGACCAGGCAACTTTCAGCACGGCTGGTGGAAGTGATCCAAAGCTATACGTGTCAACAGCTGGTCTTTTTCTTGAAATTAGCACAGCTTTATCGGGAGAACAAATTCAGTGCATTTCAATTTCTCTTAAAGCACAACTGTAAGAACATTGTTTGTAAAGAAACTGATAGCCACCAGTTGGCAGCCAGTGAAGTCAGAAGCCATTTGCATTTCAAAGGGCAGACTTTGATCCGTTATTTTCTTACTAAGTTTTTTTTCTCCTTATTTCTGGTAGACTGTCAGAGCCTGTCCAGCAAAAGGAGACGAGGTAGCACCTTGAACCAAGACAAATCCATGGATTGGTTTACAAGCAATGAAGAATGAAACACACCCGATGAGACAGAAACAGATACCTTGCTTTGTGGAACAATCGCTGTTCCATAGCAATACCACACCTGATGATTCTGTTAAAACCCTTCCCTTTAAATAGTAGGTGGGATTTCAAACTTTTATATGTGGTAGAAATCAAAGCAGTCATTACTTAAGTTACACAACGTGTAAAATGTAGCAGCTACTTTGTAACATTTTATTTTATTCTGATACAACATTCAAATTAGCAGCTACGGTCTCAGCAGCATCAAGAAAACAGCGGACGAAACTTTCTCAGCTTGGTAAGGAATGCTAATTAAAAAACAAAACAAGTTACTACTTCAGTATTTCAATATACAATGATTAGTTTATTACTATAGGTTTTATGATTTCATGATATAGTAACATGTCAAATACTAGTACAAAAAAAACAGTATTTTTGGAAATAAAATACCACTAAACTTTTAAGATGAAAAAAACCCCACATTTTCCAAGCGTCTCACCTGAATGAGCATCCTGCGAGTAAGATGGTCTAGCAACGTAAGGCACCGAGCAGTATGTTTCAGCGTCATCAGAAAGTGATTCTGTGAGAAGTAGATTTTTTTAATTCTTTCCAACAAGTTTAAAACATAACCGCATTACTACAGTTGCCGATGTGCATGGATTATTTTTCCTTGACATATTTCTGTTTTCTTTTTGCTTCTGTTAAAGTGCTTTGTTGTCACCTATCAGTACATTCAGACCTCTTTGTTCTACTATGGACTTTGCAAATCTATACTAGTATAAGGCATCTTTTTGGGATTTGCCAGAACAGCAGGATTACAAAACAGACCACACTGGTAATGTTTCTTCTGTGGAATCCTTAAGCCCACCAGGGTCCTCTAAAGCAGCACAGGACGAGCATAGAGGACTGAATTTTATTTAAAAAAAAAAAAAAAAAAATTGTAAACAGCAGTAGAAGGGCAGTCATTCTCTATTTGCAGATTGCAGTTTATTTTCTACTTAGTCTAGATTTTTAGTAAGATACTTAAATTTAAATAACGGTTAGTCTATCCTTTTTCAAACCTGACAAGGTCTAGGCTGTCCAGAAGCTTGTCTAGTCTTGACAACAATGTCAGCTGACCTAAGAAAAAAAATACTGCCTCTTCCTACAAACTTTGCCTTCATTATATCCTTGGATTATCAAATTGCAGTAACAGGATCTCTCATCAGCAATGATGTTCTTACCATTGTATTCACTTTCTTTAAGAACCACTTGATCCCGAATGTGGATTTCTTCATATTCCTTTTGAGGTGGTTCTTCAATATTTTCTTGAGTTTCCACCATTTGGCTTGATTTGCAATTCTTGATTTTAGCAGGGAGTACCAACCAATTTCTATGAGTTACCTCAATGATCCTTTCGCACAAAAAAGGGAGCTTGCAGGTCCGTATTCTGTCTAAAAGGTCAATAACCTGTGTGATGCTTTTAAAGAAATGCAAAGGATAAAGTAGTATTGCAAAAACTCAAATCATACACTGCTAGTCTCAATTCTACTGCCTTTGTCGCATTCTTTACCTTTGAGGTTACACGAGTCCTTCAATTTTAGGGCAAAGGAGCTAGCAACACTACTACTGAGTTGGAAAACCAAACAGTTATTTTCAGGATGTCATTAAGTGAAAACTTCCACTGACCATGAGAGCGTTCCCAAAGTGAAAGCCAAAGGATTCAGCCAAGTGTAATTTATACTGAGTGCAACTCCCTAAAAAAAATTACATTGGGGGGGGGGGAATTTCGTTAAATATTTAAAATATACATCCAGCATTAATGAAAAGATGTTTGGTTTTGTAACAATGCTAGGTGATGCCTGAATAAATGCGTAAGAGTCAGAAGTAAATACTTACTTTGCTAAATACACAGCGCACACACCACCCTGTTTCAGACTTGGGTGTACAACAGGCAGAGCAGACTGAGGGTTAAGCATATCCAGAACTATCTGCAAGAGAAAGATACATATGTTTTCCCAGTAAGTATTAATATATCTATCAATTTTTTTCTGTAACAACAATGCTTGAAAAACCAATGTTTATCTATGGAAAATGAATGCATACACAGCAGTGTGTAATCACAAACCAGTTTTATTACTGCCTCTCAAAACCTTAGAGAAACCTGAGGTCCACACACTTACAAAACAAAGTCCTTGCTACTTCCAACTGAATTTCTATTAAAACAGCAAGTAGCGTTTCACCAACACAGTATCCTGTGTTAACGTTAAACCTCCTACTAATTAATTTCCATAATGCTGACATTAGTAACAATTTTTGGAAGACTACATTTACTAGCACCTTTGGATACAGAGTTTTCAAATGTAAAAAAAAAAAATATGTTCAAGTGCATCTTTATTAGGTAAAGATCACACTACAGTCTCAATGTTTAACTTGCTCTCTGTTTCAGGATTTAGAAAACTTCTGTCTTTGGCAATTTATCCATCTTCTGCTCGAAAACTATTCGACCTGTAAAACAATAGGATATGCAACACCTGATCCTTCCTGTAGATGTTACTTTTCAAGTTTAAAAAAATGCTGGTTTTATGCTATGTATTTCATTTCTTTCCTCAAACCATTTAACACAATTGTCATTTGTTTAAAGCGTTAATGTACGTGGTTTGTCTGCTTTACACAGAAGAGTGGTTAACATCTAGCTGTTTTCCCCAGCACGTCTCCCTTTACAAAATCTGGATATAAAAAGCAGGACAGGAGAGCAAGCAAGAGCATTCTTTACTGTAACTTTAACTTAGGCCTTAGTTACATTGTGTGTTCTATATAGCTGATAGCAAAGTGTTTCCATATTTATATTTTCCATAAGCTTATGTATTCTTCTTAATGTTTGAAATAGATGCCTTAGATACAAAAATACGCGCTTCTCCAAAAGAGAAGAAAGTAAGTTTGTCTTTGCTTACGAGACAGCAATGATTAATTGTAATATTTCTATGCTACAGCCATTATCGCTCTTTCATTTGGGAACCTGTACCTGAAACCTTGAAAATACCTGTAATCTGACAAAAAAAAAAAATCACAATGTTTCTCTCACCGATAAAGATCCGATTGTTTTTTCTCATGTTAAACTAGATATGGTAATCCCATTGTCAGTGTGAGCACTAGAGGTTTTAATTTAGGCAGAAAAGATAAATGTCAAATGTGGGGATTTTTTAGACTTACTGCATCAAGCGTTACAGATTTCATATCCGCAGCAGCTGTTGAAATGTCTTGAAGAATGAAATCCACGTTATCTGGCCACTCTTCCATATGTCCTATTTCCCATGCAGCACGCCAGTGCCTGTAATTCTTCTTAGCTAAATTATGATGATCATCTCTGATTTCATAACTTATAACACGCCCTTTGGGCCCAACTGAAAACAGACAAAAGATACCAGACTTACTACTTCCCCCGATCCCCTCCTGTAATAAAGAATTTAGAAAAAAGTAGCACAGTAAGTAACAGAAGCACACCTTTAAATCTCAACTTCACTTTAGGAAATCATCACACATGAAATGATCAATTACAGTTTATTTTTTCTTCACATTTAAAACAAATATATGCAGATAAAGTGCTGGGTTAGTTCTTTCACAGACCAAAGTCCACCAATCCACAGATGGACCAAAGCATAGTTACAGTAGTACAAACTGTTCCCAAGGTGTCCCTTCTTAGGGTTGGGGAAGGGCTAAGAAAACCCCACTGATCTCAGCCCCATAGACAAGTCTTCGAGCGTACTTTTTGATTTACGCAGGCTTGTGTTATTTTCCTGTTACTGTTTGTAACTGTAATAAATTATTTTATTACTGAAGTATAAATTTACTATCCTGAAATATGCCATGAGTCCAATACACAATATTCTTCATAAAGGAAGTGTTACCAGGATACCCAGGCAGACACGCAGGTGGCATTGCTGTCTTATTCTATGCTTGTATTACTCTAATTTCTCACACCTATCACGCCATTAGCTTCTCCTTACTATCTTAATGGGCCAAGGCAGCTTTCAGCAATCAGCAGCTCAGCGGGTGGGGTTCTGTGACTTCTTAAGCCATTGTAGGTTGGAGTCACCAGGCTCCTTCCCTCACCTATTTGATCCCACTGTGAATCCATTCAGAAAACTGAACAAGAGAGGGGTGGGTTTCCCGACAGTCTCTCCCTGATCTAGCTCACCCTGGATCAGACCGGGGCCAGAGCCAACACGTAAGGAGGGAGGGTTTCAGCAGTGTCGCCTTTGATCACCTTAAGCAGTTGTAGAATCGCAGCATCAACTCCTTATTACTCAAGATTATCAGTTTGGAACCACTAGAAGAATGAAATTGTTTGTATTGGAGTCAGTCTTATTCCTTCCTCTGCTCACTCCAAAAGTTTCCTACATTTTGAAACTGATTTCTGGAAAAATAAGGACAACTAGTTAAAATAGCTAGGCAAAACTCTTCATTATTGTGAAGCTGCAGTATGTTTGCATACATCATGTTTTCCAGTTCTCAAAGATCTTAAAGTCATGGCAAATGCCACATTCTTAACACAGTCTTAACTTTGTCCTGTTGCGTGTCAGTATTTTCTGGGAAAGATTAAAGAAGGAACGGAAAATAAAACATAAACTGAGAGTAACACAAAGAGAGGAGATGAACGAATTCCGTTAAATCAATGAGAATTTGGGAAATTAAATACTTCCATGGACCTTGGTAATGTGCCCACTAGATTTAAATTCCAGCATTTACCTGTGTAGCAGCTATTTTTTCTTGTTAGGTATCACCATATTAAATGGCGGCAAAATCAGCCACCATTAGGAAAAAACAAATCAAATCTATTTATTTCTGGGTCAGCGCCAAATTGTGTTAAGCTGTGACTAACACCGTCCCTATTTGGTGCTGCTTTAAGTTCAATAAACTTGAAAACAACAATACAATCTCCTACCTTTTTCCCTCTCCTCAAGATAGAACTGAACTGGCGCACAAGGACTGCTTTCTTCCCATGGATAGGGTTAACAGTCTGGTGATGCCAAGGATTTTGCTGACTTGGCACGGTTACAGCTAAATTAAAGTGATCGGAAGGAACCTATTGGACAAGACTGAAAAAGGAGAGGAATACTCGGTAAGTCCAGGCGTGTTTGTAT